CCCGAACGCCGGCAACCCTATATATATATATTTTTTTTGAATTTCACTTCTCTGCCTTTTTTGTTTTTTATTTTTTTATAATTCTAAAAACTTATCTTTTTTCAACAAAAAAAAAAGGGGTTGTAGGGATTAAAAATCCCTACAACCCCACATTTGTTTTTGTTTTTTTTACCAATTATTTAATTCAGGAAAAATATGGTAACTTCGCGTCCGCGGCGCAGACAAGGTCGGCCGCGGACGGGGCCGTATATACGGTCGCCATCCGAGCTGGACCCCGCAGACGCGTCCGCGGGTGTTTCATAGTTGAAGCGTGAAAAACAGGGTAAGTGCGTAAGTGACCAGGGATGCGAACAACATAAGACGGCCCATCTGGTTCACCCCCCACGACATCCAAAATCTCCCATGGTCCAAAATACTGTGGCATGAGCTTGCAGGAGATCCCATGCTCCTGTCCCACTTCTGAGGACTTGACCCAAACTCTCTCTCCTACCTGAAACGTGGATGGGCGGCGGTGTTTGTTCTCAGACTTTATCATCGCCGCTTGCGCCTTGTGCATGTGGTCAACAGCTTGCTGCATCAACCGCTCATATCGGTAAGCTAACTCTAAATTTCCTCATGCAGGAGAGGGCTGGTTGTCAGGTAGTAAGAAATCCAAGGGCAATCTAGGCTTAAAAGTTAATAGCAGACTATTCAGGCTCATGCCCGTTGCGCTGTGGACCGCGTCATTGTACAGACTGGCAATGAGAGCAAGTTTCTCATCCCAGTCTACCTGATTTGGCTTAATATAATGCCTCAGCAGGTGTTGTACAGCGTGGTTCAACTGTTCTGCTTGTCCATTTGCCTCAGGATGGTTTTCTGATGTCATCTGCAACTGCGTTCCCTGTTCTGCAGCTGCGGCTTTCTACAATTCACTTGTGAATCGCACATCACGGTCACTGACTATAGACTTTGGTAGTCCAAAATCCCTAACCCAGTTCTCTTTGAACAGCTTAATCACATACTCAGTCTTCGCTGTCTCAGGCATGGCAACTAATCTAGCAAACTTACTAAACCTATCCACAATGACGTAGATGTATCACATTCCACTCTTGCTGGTGACCAGCGTATCCATGAAGTTCATGGATAGACTCTCACCAGGCCTTTCCGGAATCGAAAGGGGCTTCAGGAGCCCAAGAGGAGCTTGGGTACGTGGCTTGTCCCTCTGATAGACCTGACAAGTCTCCACGTATAGCTGCACATCTCTCATAATCGTGGGCCACTAGAACCGCTACAACAGATTGGCTGCAGTCTTGTTGAAGATAACATGTCCGGTGGCATCATGACATTCTCCTAAAAATAAACTACCCAAAGACTCCCTATTAGGAACAGACAAACGTTTATTCCCAGCCTTCTCAAGGAACAGTAAGCCGTTGACCAACTCAAACTCCACAGAAGTCACTTTGTCCTTCGCCTCGAGTCTGCGGATGATCTCAAACATGAACGAATCCTCACGATAGGCTTCCACCATGGACTGAGTAACATTGTCCGCAATCCCAAACTCAGTGATCAGCGCACCTGAGAAATCAGGTCTACGCGACAAGGCATCAACAACCTTGTTGTACTCGCCCTTGATGTGTTGGGGCTCGAAGTCATACTGCTCTATGACTTCGAACCAACACTTGAGAGCGTCAGAGAGTACCGACTGAGTTTTCATCCATCTCACGGTCTGATGATCAGTCCTGAGGATGAAGAACCTCCCAAGGAGATAGTGTCTCCAATGGGTCAGAGCCTTGGACACCGCATAAAGTTCCTTCTCACAGGTGGACTTTGCCAACTTCTGAGATGGCATCTTTTTGGACATGTACTCGACAGGCCTCAACTTTTTCCCCTCCTGTTGGGCAAGAACGACGCCTATGCCAAATTGGCTAGCATCCGTAGTTACTATAAATGGCTTATCAAGATCAGAAAGTTTCAAGACTTCGTAATGCGTCAACGCATGCTTCAGATGTTTGAATGCAGCCTCGTATCTCTCAGTCCACTCCCATGGGGTGTCAAGGCGGGTCAGAACAGTCAAAGGGGCGGAAACTATGCTATAGTTCTGCACGAAATTGCGATAGTAGCCGGTCATCCCTAAGAAATATCTCATCTCATTCACAGACTGAGGACGCGGCCAGTCACGAATGCTGGCCACCTTCGCGTCATTGGGCTTCAACCCTTCCGTGGAAATCTCATGACCCAAGTACAAGACACGGGTGCGACTGAACTCGCACTTCTCACCGTTGATCTTGAACGTGTGTTGTCGCAGGAGACTGAGGACTTTGTCCAGTTGTGCAACGTGCTCCTCGACAGTCTTACTAAAAATAAGTATGTCATCGAGATACACGATGATAAACTTATCCAAGTAGTCATGGAATATCTGATTCATAGCGTGTTGAAAGGTGTTAGGAGCATTGCAAAGGCCGAAAGGCATCACACAAACTCGTACAGACCGTACTTGGTCTGAAAGGCGGTTTTGTGTTGATCCTTGGGCAGGATTGCAATCTGATGGTACCCGGACTTTAGATCTATCTTACTGAAGTACCGACACCCTTGCACTCTATCTAGCAAATCGTCGATGCGCGATAGGGGCTCTCTGTTCTTTACAGTGATGGCATTGAGGCCCGTATAGTCAATGCACATCCTAAGTGTTCCCTCCTTCTTCTTAGGTACGAATAGTATTGAAGACCCATAAGGAGAGACACTCGGCTGGATCCAACCCTTCTCTACAAGATCCTTGAGTTGTCGGCGAAGCTCATCGAGCTCGCCTGGACATATCCGATAGATCCTACCCTTCGGGATGCTAGACCCTGGGATAATCTCTATCGCATGGACGACCTCCCTCTCTACAACCCCTGTCGGCTCTTCAAATAAATCAGGGTATTTGGCAACTACTCCCTCTATCTCCAGCGACATTTTCACCGGCTCGCCTGCAGCAGAGACGTAAACTAGGTATATACCCTCCTTCTGATTTTACTTATAATAGTTATACAACGCGGCCACACACATGCATCCATGGGACTCGATCAGACAACTAGCTTTGAACTTGTGCAATCTGGCGGTCCCTCCACCTGGCAAAGTGTGTTTGACCACTTTTTGGTCCCAGTCAAACTGGGGCTGTGCCACAGAGAGGTAGTACATTCCTAACAACATATCCATGGGGAGTTCGTCACTCACTAGGAACGAGATGCGATATCTCAATTCCCCTCCCGCATACGGGAAACAACACTCAACATCTTGGAGGTAGTCGTTGACTACCATGCGCTGTTTGTTGGCACAGCCCGACTCCACATGTCGACTCAGGCACTGCACTCGCCCCTATAAACGCAGCCTCTCAACGCACGTGCGACTGATAAAGTTCCTAGTCGAGCAAGTGTCATAATAGGCACCGGCCTTGCGGCCGCCAATGACTACCTTGCTGACGAACATCTCATCCTTCGGGGCTTTGACTAGAGCCGTCCAAGAAGCTAGCGGGTCTGATCTAGACCACTCCTCCTCTAGCTCCTCTAAGGACTCAAACACATTCATCGAACAGAGGCTCGATGGGTCTGAACGTGTTTGCGGGACGACGCTGGAGTCGGTAGCTTGGGCCATCTCTCGAGATGGTGGGGGTGTATCCACCATCTCGACCCTAGCACGAACAGCTACTATTCCTACTGGCCCGACGTGTTTCCCGGAGCAGTGCCAGAAGTACTAGCTACGTTGCTACCAACGGGATGGGAGGATCCCAACGCCTGCCCCATCGTAGGCGGGATCTTCTCGGTCACCTTCTTATTACGACACTTGAATTGGTTATGGCCGTATTTACCACAACGAATGCAAGCCTGCCTTATATACTGATCTCTCCACACGTCCTCTGTGAGACTCTCCTCCCATGGGGGAGCGTTGGGGTCAACTTGACTCCTTGATTGGGAGCCTCCGCAGGCCGCGGCGTCTACTGGTCGCATTACCTTTCTGAGCTACGGCAGCGACTACTCCACCCCCTGAAGCTTCAATGCTACCTGCCTCTGAACCTACTCCCTCCTGGAAGTTGTCGTCTAACTCGATGGTTGAACCATCGTTATCGACAAACATTATGCGGCCCTTCGCCTTCCAATTGGGAGGCAGTGATTTTTTCCTACCATCTGTAGTGGGTGCTTGCCCATGCCCTATCTTCGCCTCAAGGTCTAGGGCCTTCTTGCTAAACGAGGGGAAGTTGTAAACGTTGATGTTGGCCTCACCTGCCAACTGTTTCCTGAGAGGCATTAGAAAGCATCTCAGGTAGGAGGTGAGTAAAACGTGGGGGTCATAGCGCACCCCAGGGACACATATCAGACGCTCTACAGCGTCGGTGGCCACCCTGATTGACTTAAACTGCCTCGTGTGCAGTGTCAAGATCGCGCCAGTGACCTTTTGGGCCTCCTGAGGATCATGCCACCTTTCTTCCACCATCTTGAGGAAGTCCTCCAGTTTCTGGTGGGCTGCCCAAGCGTGGAAGTCATGACCGTACCCCTGTAGTTGCAATAAACCGCTCAACCATCGTGCTGCACTACTCTCTAGATAAGATGCAGCCACAAGCACTTCCTCATGCGGCAAGGTAAGCTTACACTTGACATAGACCGACACTGTCCTCAACCACGTGTCGAGGTCTTCGCCCCTCTTATCCCCTGTGAAGGGTTTAGGAGCGGCGATGCCCGTCTTTGGTACCCACTGAGTTTGTCCCGGTCCCTACATCCCACTGGGCTGTGGACCCTGTGATACAGGTGGCTGCACTGACTCCAGGGGCTGTGTACCCTGCGGCTGTACATGCTGCGAGACTGCAGGTTGCGTTGTAACTGCAATCTGCAATGGAGGTTGGGAATACACTTGCTGTACAGGAACCTGTAAACTAGGACCTGCTGAGAGTCCTCCTTATAACGGCATGCGCAGGGAAACGATAGCAACCGATGATGGGGCTACATATGGGGATACCCCAGTCACTGGTGGGACAAAAGGAGGAGGATGTGCAACGGGCCAGGCACCTGGCACGGACGGTGATGGTGTTGCCTGCATCCGTCTGACTAGTACAACCAGACTTTGTTGGATGTCCTGTAAGATCTTCATTTGATGATCTTGCATACCAACTACACTTAACAAGACCGACCGTATGGTCCTCACATCATCATCCATCTCCTCTAACTCACTAACGTCCGCTTATCTTCGCTATATCCTGGCTCTTCTTCTAATCATCATTTCTTTCTCTGCCTTAATCTCTCTCAAAGCCTGTTGTAGTTGTGCCTCGCGATAAGCTGCTCGCTGTATGGCGACCTCCTCGGGAGTCATCAGTAATGGCTGGCTTGCCATGACGCCAACAGACTGACTCAAAGCCTGCGCAACTGTCGACCCTATAGAGCCTGTTGACCCTACAAAGCCAGAAGACTCTCCAGAGCTTGTTGACCCTACAATTCCTGAACTACCTGTCTGAGAAGTTTGCTGCGCAGAGGTAGCCATTGCTTCAAAAGTTGCGGCTTCGCTTACCAGCGCCCTGCTAGCCTCCGCTGATCTAGCCCTCCTCTGTTGTTGCTGCCTTTCTCTAAGCTGGCGGGACAAATGTTGGTCGCCCTCTGGTCCTAAAGCCAAGTGGGCGATCGTTCGTCTACGTGAATGGAAGAGTCGATCGTCCTCTCCAGTGTCCTCCCTGTCACTCATAAGCAGGGTTGTCGAGCCCCGGCCCCGGGGCCCCGGCGGGGTTCCGGGGTTCCGGGGGTGGGCACCCCCAACCCCGGCTCCAGACCCCCCCGCAAAAAAAAAAAAAAAAAA